GGTCTTTTATTTTAAAAAAAACTTGGTGGTATTTACACTTTAAGGTTTTGTTTAGGCTAGGATTTGTAATAGGGTTGGGTTACCTAAGGCTGACCATACACCTATCAATTTTTTTTTGTTCTATCCGTGGGCTGCACGAAAAAAATTGACCCGATTTTTCCATCAACACAAACAGCGTGTCGATTGAGGAATCCCGCTGTTTACATTGTATTCAGAATAACCAATCAGCTGCCGGCTGTGATTGATCGAAGATTTTCCAGCCGGCTCCTTCGATCAGCTGATTGAGGAATGCCGGCTGACAGGGAGCCGACAGCCCCATACACTGTGCGGATTTACATAGTACTTTTTTTTTTTCTTCCGGTACATTTAAAAACTGTATGGGTACCTTTTAGTTTCTCGAAAATATTTTAGGCAGGATGGGAGATTTGGAAATATCTGATTGAGGAGAATACTAAAAAAAAGTCCTGTCTAGGTTTCGAAATTATGTCAAAAGTCACTTTGATATTGCAAGGAGCTCAAAATGTGTTAATAAATGAACCAAGACAAGGTATGCTGACTGTGGAAATTGCTCAGGACTTAGTTTTGACACCTGTGATATTTAGGAGGTTAAGAAATGCTTTGCAACTTGTGATGTTAACAAAACTATGGAACGCTGCAACAATGTTAATGTACATACGTTATATGGTGGTTTATTTCTCTTCCCCTTTGTATTTTTAGTTTTGTGTCCAGTCCACGCTGGGTTAAACTAGAAGCAATTTTTTATGCCCTTTACGTGCTACTTGGTGAAGTGTAGAGCTTAGGAAAACCTGGCTCTGCTTTTATTAGAAGTCTTAAAGATCAAAAAACACTTCTTTTTCAGTAGATCTCAAAACCCTTGATGGAATTTTGGCTTCCACCATTTAGTACATTTTTTTTTCCTTCGCGTGCCTCCACCTATCTGAAATATTCCATGCTCTGTTTATACTGTTGAATAGGAGCAAACTAGCCACCAGCTACAAGCACTTCATGTTACAGGCAGAGGGCCACTTCTCCTCACCCACTAAGCTTCTCTAGAATAATATGATGTTCATATAGCGTCAGAGGAGACTTAGCCTGCGGCTAGATTGGGTAAAATTAGTTGATAAGCGTAACTAACAAAACATCACTGAGCGCAGCTGATTCAGCTGTGATTTGCTACGGGCAGAAGTGGTTTCATGTCAGATCTAATTGTGGTGGTGGAAATGTTTTCCACCATCTATCACGCTTTAACACAAATATGGGGAACAATATAGGGAAAATATGGGCTGACATCAGAGCTTGGAAAGGCTTTAGGTCAAATCAAGCCTGTGTACACTTGCACTCTGAAACATCCATTACTTTCTTATAGATAAAAGGCTTAAATGAGATAGGAAAATTTTCTGAAATAACCTGCACCGCCCCATCCCCAACCCCTCTTAAACTAACCTGCACCGCCCCATCCCCCAACCCCCCTCAACTAACCTGTACCAGCTCATCCCCCACACCCCTTCTGAACTAACCTGCACCGGCCCATCCCCTCCTGAAGTAACCTGCACTAGCCCATTTCCCTATGCCTCCTGAACTAACACATCCATCCACCCCTCCTGAACCAACCTTAACTAACCAATCCTCCCACACCTCCTGAACTAACCAGATCTAACACCCTCCACCCCTTCTGAATGCATGTGCACTAACCCTCCTCACCCCTTCTGAACACACCTGCACTAACATCCCCACCACACCTGCACTAATCAATCCTCCCACCCCTCCTGAACTAACCAGCATTAACACGATCCACCCCTTCTCAACGCACCTGAACTAACATCCCCACCTGAACCAAGCTGCACTAACACACCCCCACTGCAGCTCAGCTTCTTGCTTACCTCTTTACATATTCTCAGGCAGAAATCCTATTCAGTTTTTGCTACACCAGAATACTTCATATACTTGAATAGGACTGAAGTAGATTTTTGAAAGAGGTGAAGTAAACCTTGCACAGCATGTGACTCTTACAGGAAGCTGGGGTAAGGATGTTAGGGCAGGTTGCATGAGAAAGGTTAGCAAATTAATGATATGATTTCATTGTTTTTTAATAAAAATACAGTTGTCCTTAAGTTCATAAATCATAGCCAATAGCACATAATTAGTTATTACCTACAATATTAACTTTTACTGGAGAAGCCATTATTCTATAATCCTGAGATGTTTGGTCATGTAATCTCTCCTTAGAGGGAAGACATGAGGTCAGACTGGCCAATTCATTCCTGTAGCAGGGATCATATTTCTAAATGCCTAGACTTTTGCACACATGGCCATCCACCATGGGCTCCAACCAGTGTAGTTATACCCTGCCTTCTGTTACAGTTTGTACCTAAAGGGGCAAAGGTGTAGGGATTTTTTTTTCACTACAGGTCAGCTTTAATCAGCTAATGAACAGTGTGATGACTAAAATAATGTGTTATTGTTTTTAATCATATTAAGCAGATTTTTGTGATAAATACGCCTAATGTATTGTTTTTTGTTTTTTTTGTAGGTAAGACCAACAGTAAAGTCTTGACAAAAAAGGTATGAGTGTTGAATCCACATAGGATTCTGAGTGCTAATATGCTTTTACCTTACATAAATATTTACAATGCTCACCATGTCATCTGATGAATCAGATAGGAGGAAGGAAATGCAGGATGCTCCTTTTATACTGCCCCGATAAACAGTAGTTGATTAAACACTGAAACATGAGAAGAATGTCCTATTTCCTATGCTGTTTTATTTGACTAACATACTATTAGCTAATTTCATCATGGTCTCATATTCTTTAAATATGTTCCATTTTCTTGTGGTCTGTGTTTTATGAGGTGAGGTTTATGCTATAGGAAAAGTTGTAGCTGTATGACTGTCAGCATCTCAAAATAGAAAGAACACTGAGTTAGTGCATCTGTAAAGGTTCTCATTTATCCAGGTCTTGGTATTGCAAGTAGTAGTTGGTCTCATTCAAGTGGACGTGTTCTGTAATGTTGAAGATGCTTTGTAGCTTGTTCAAGTCACTTTAGTTTTAGCGATTCAGGAACATACCTCAACATTTATATCCACACAGGTAGCACAGTCACCTTCACCCAATCACCATGAAATGTGTGAAGGCAGATGATTGTCAAAGAACAGGGTGGGAGGTGTGAAAGTTATGGAACCACCCTGTTCTAGTTACATAATCCCATTCATTGGAGTCATTAGGTTTTCTTTGGGAATGCACCTTTAATTTCGGGCGCTGAAACATATCGGATGAAAATAGCACTTTTGGCAAAATGCCGAAAGTGCCAACTTTCTGTCCGAAATGGTGGTGCATCCCTACTTTCTGTCCTCCCAACTGCGCACTGCTCTGTGTCCCAGCGGGGAGGAGAAAAGCTGTCTCAGGAGGCTGAGCCGTGCGAGGGAGGAGAGCGTTGTGAGCAGCCAGCGTCTCTCCTCCCACACCACTCAGACTCCTGTAACAGATTAGGAGAGCGGCTGTGTGGGAGAGCTGACAGCTGTCTCCGCCCTCATACCGCCGCTCTTCTCCCACACCGCCCCGCTCAGCCTTCTGTGACTGATCAGCAGAGCGGCGGTGTGGAGGCAGAGACAGCTATCACAGGCCGGGCTGGCGGTGCGGGGGAGGAGTCGGCTGTCACAGGAGACCGAGCTCTCCTACCCGCACCACTCGTTTAGACTCCTGTGACAGCCAATCAGGATGGAGAGCCAGACACTGGAGGAATCTTAGACCTTGAAAAATCATTGTTGATTCCATTTCTTCATCTGGAATACTTTTGAATAATCTTGGATACCAGCCAGGCCAAGGTGTTTCTTCCATCTAAAAAACTATGGAAGCTACAGCTTCAGATTCACCTACTGTGTGCTCACAGGTGGTCACCCATTCGGCAATGTATGCAAATGTTGGGTCTAATGGTAGCATTCTTCAAGACGATTTCCTATGTGCAACATCACACCAGAATGTTGCAGCAGGAGAGCCTGGAGCAGTTCCTGCTTCTTGTCAGTGTGCTGGACATTTGAGCAATCAGATGGACTTGCTTTGCTGGATGCACCTCCTGGAGGGATACCCTGTATGGCTTGCAGTCAGACAGCCACAGCCATAGAGGGAGGACAGGTCAGAGAATGCCTTTCCTCTGTACTCAGGATTTCTAATTGCCCCTGGCACATGGTGTTAGGTAAGTAGCAGTGTATCGCCACCTGCAGACACCATATGCTCGATTTAAGAATGTTTTGAACATGTTGAGAAGAAAGTTTCCGAGTAATAAGTAATTATATATTTATGTTAGATTAACCACCCTAGGTCCCCAGAAGAAGCGCATAAGCGAAACGCATCGGGACATAATCCTTAAAACTGCAAACCAGTGAGATATTACCAGACTGATCAAACACTTAAGAAAGACAAAGATAAATTACAGATAATATACACGGTTTTCTATTTTGGTATTTGTATGTATTTTGGCTGCCTAACAAGGAAGGATGGGGTTTGGGTTTCATTAGGGTTTTTAGTTTGTACATCATTAACTTTTCTACTATTTTTATATGTAAAAATAAACTGTATGTCTTTTTAACGTATGCATTGGTATGCACCTCTTTAAACCCCATGTTCTATATTGTGTGTAATGATTGAAAAGGATTGGGTGAGGTGCTTCTCAAAATGCACGAGTCTGGGCTATATATTGTGGATAATCTCTGTGGGATCACTACAGTCTCACTGTGCTACCTGTGTGGTTATAAATGGTGGGATATGATTCTAACACTCATTGGTCTTCAGTGTTAAAGAACAAATTTAAGCTGAAAGTAATAAAGTACTGCTAGCTATACTGAGTTATTATTGGTGTACCATGGGCAAACTCCCCCCACCCCATTGTGACTTATTATGATAGGCAAATCAGACCTTTTCAGTTTAGCTACTCTTGCTATCCTCCTATATTCCTATGAAGCATCCAGACATTACCTCAGACACAAAAAATTATTTTATGTGGCCTCTGTTGTGTGTGTGTTTTTAAATAGAATATGTAAAGTACTTAGACAGGTACCACATATTTTCGCTCCTGCACCTTTTGTGCGCGACATACGGCAAAGGTGTGAACAGCCTCCATTGACTTCAATGCGAATCTGTGTTTTGCACGATATCGCGTGACTCAAACCGCGTGATGAATCGCCTAGGTGTGAACCTAGCCTAAAGTGTATTTCCAATTTTGCAGTCAGATTTCAGAAACCCTCACTATATGTTAATGTGTTCCCATTCACACAGCATACCTAAAAAGTATTTAAAATATATATATATTTCTTACCTTTTTAGCTGTTTCTTTAAAGCAGGATAATACCGTTTTTTAAAAGTGCATTAACATACAATGCCTTGCGCTCTTTAACCCTTTGTTAGGACAGGCAGTCCTGCGCAACTGATGCTGCAGATCTGCCAGCACAGTACAGACGGGGTTAATTATAACAGACAATTGCCTAGCCTCCTCATAAACAGGGAGAATGAACATGATTTTTCAGTCCTGGAGTTTCCAGCAAAGAATATTTATCAGGGCGAGCAGCAATTTTTTTTTTTTTTCAAAGCTATGGTATGTGAATGGGGACATGTAACAAATTAGGATAATTTGGCTGTGGAAATATAATTTGTCAGTCAGTGGCTGCAGGGACCAGGACAGGTATGACTTTGGCATCCAAAAATGGGACCAGTCAACGTAAAGTCAACTATTATCTGTAGGCCTGCCTTAAAGTAGTATTAAAGCCTTTTTTTTACATATATCTACTGCTAGCATGCAGTAGAAATATGCAAAAACATTTTAAAAAATTACCAAATAGCTAAATAATTACCTTTGTCTCTGCCACTCGCTCCCGGCTTCTCAAGCGGCCGTACAGGATGATGGGGTTGGCGCATGCGCAGTAGAGATCTTCAGCGGGGACAAGAGGAGAGAGACAGTGCAGGTGAATGTACGCAGCAGTGAGCATGCACTTTGGACAGACTCCGTGGGACCCGAGGAATCTGCCTTTGATCAGAGACCGGCACCAGCGCTGGAGGGACTCCTGAAAACTACTGGCTAGAAAAAGATGATCAGATCAAGAGGCATTATTTAAGGTAAGTCCTTAAAGCAGCATTGACTTTAATATCACTTAACTTTAAAAGCAACCCCAAGAAAAACCAAAAGTCTCTGTCATGAGTTAAGTGTGACAGTGTTCAATAACCAGCCTGGTCTCTACCACTATCTGGAGCCCTGGCAGAAAGATCTTCCATATGTGCCACTGCCATAACTGGCTGTTCTAGCCTTTTTATTCTCTGTCCAAACGAAAAAACTTTAATTATTTTACCCAAAATGTAGAGTGTTCAGTTTCTTGATTAATTCGAAAGCAAGATTACCTCACCCTTTAGCTCCAGCTTTTGTCCACTTCACAGCTGTTACACCTAGTTGGGCTTCATGTAAAGAAATGTTGGCACTTGCTTCTGCTGGATTTTTCATAGAAATATATGGAGGCTGTAGCATAAGGTGGGAATAATCCATGAGCTGCATATTTTACTCCTCTAATGAGAAGCGGAGTCCCATCATTTCACTTCCAGGATCTTGAATTTGTTAGTTACCAGCAGTTTGAAATTGTAATCAACCATCCAATGCGGACCTATTGTGCATGCATGATTCTACCGCTGAATGTTCTTATTTACACCACCTCACATCATTATATATTCACAAAACTAACACAACAGGATAAGAATCCCTACTTTTTTTTAAAAAAAAGTAACTTTTTCCAATGATGGTTCCAAATTACAGTTGTGTGGCTTACATAGAGATCCTTAACCCCATGTTAAAGCTTTGCGAATTGAGCCTCCTATGTTTCAGTGGAGAATCTACTAATAGGAGAACAATGTGGAAGCTGGCAGCATTTCTGTCACTTGCCTTCTAAGAAATTATTTACTGGCAATCCAGTTATGCAGTGGAACCAGAAAGATGGGCTCCCACCAGTGTCCCGGCTTTAACCCCCATGGCTCATATATTGCAGATTCATACTATTAGGAAAGGAAACATTTAAATCTGCCTTGCTTTCTAATTTACATTTACTTGTTTCTCAAGGAGTTTGATGCCATGCTTACCCAGGCAGCCAAAGCAAAACCAGGTCCAAGATTGTTCAGAGACTTAGGCGATAAAGGTGAGATTTTATTTTCTTATGCCATTTATCTAATCTTTATATTTTTTTATTGCTTCTGTGCTATTTTTATTTAAAAATATTTATTATTGGCTTATTTCTTGATAAGCATTGTGGGTTCTTTAATAGGAGAGCTCACAAGGGAGGTGCCATCTTTTTCCCAGTATCCCCCTTGGGTCAGCAACTACTTCTACAACAAGATTGGGTTGGCACAACCATTAAAATCCAATTTACCTGTTTATGTTCTTGCCTGTGCACATATGTCTTAAAAAGTTGAGCACCTGCTGGTGCCTCTCGGTCTATGGCAATCTAGCGTAAAAATGAATAACGCTCACAAGGTCAGTCCAGGAAAGTCCCTCACAGATTAGCTCCCAGTTTGCCAGCATACTACACTGAACAGAATGATCGTTTGGAGAGTCATTACTGAGAAAATGTAAGCTCCTATCTATAGCAGAATCAAGTCATGTTATTCTCCCAGAATGCTTCTCTTGCAAGGCCGGACAAAGAAAGGCTGTAATTCATTATTTCTATTTTTAGTAAATGGCAAAAAAAGAATGTTTTGTGGTACCTCGGTTCACCAACGCTTCTGTTCGCGAACAGGAAGTTCGACAAAATGTTGATTCCGTTCACTAACTTCGCTTTGGGTGACGAACTCAACCGCAGCCATCTTTTCTGCTCTGACACATGGTCATGGCTTCCTCTAGTCGAGATCATGGTCTGATCACAGTTTGATTCGGTTCGCGGCCAGAATTGTGGAACTACTTAAGTTCGTGAACCAAGGTATCTAGACATAATTGTCGCGATCCGCTTCAGCATCTCAGTATACCGCGAGCAGCAGCTCGCGGTATACTGCGGCTTCTCAGTATACCGCAAGCTACAGCTGAGCCTAGGGTGACGGGAGGACGCTAGTTTGTGTCCTCCCGTTACCCTAGGGAGAACTATGGGGAAAAGCCTTAACCCCATAGTTCTCCTTTAAGAAAATTAATACCTACAGTCTTAACATACGGTAAAATAGATTTAAAACAAGCCATCCTTGACCTTTCTAGTTCCTATTATTGTGAAGTTTTTACTTCCCAAAAATCCTCAAAGATCACAACAAAGACTGAAGTCAGGATTCAGTTGTTTTTCACGAGATTGAGCTCCATTTTATGTCATTACTTGGCGTTGATTGCTGCATCATTTAGGATTTGCCCACCACTGGAGGGAGACGAGGACCTGCACATCAAGATCGCTGGACAAATGTTAGGCATAGAGATTTTGTTTACGGGGGGTTTGGGGGCCGCATTGCAGGGAAGACCTTTGCCCGGAGTTGGGCTTTAACGGGTTTTTGTTTTTTTTTTACTTTCAGAGAACTGATGCTGCAGAAACAAAAGCCCACCAGTGTGCTTGCATTTTTTGGGCGGGGTATTTTTCTCTATACATTGTTTCTTTCTAATGATACACATGGATGATTACCTTGCATCCATGATCACTTGCTCGTGTTGAGTTTTTGCTGTGACTTTTAGAAATGTTTTACTTCAAATTCTTAAATCTAGCTTTTCTGCTGTGCCTGACACATTTGTTTTTTTTATGTCTGCGCTTCTGCCATAGGCTTTGCCAGTCAGTTATAGTAATAATAAATATATGTCAAAGGGGGGAAATTTCAAATTTTGATCAAATAAAAAGTAACACGTTTGTAGATATATATGCTAGGAATGGTAGTTTATGCTAAAAGACTTACAGGCTAATATAGTTAACACATAATAGGTGTTTCTGTATCTTCCATTCATTTTACAAATGTAATGCAACTGGGCAGAAACAAGAGACCAGTCAGTTTCCTCTCACCTGTTTATAGGGGCTAATGGAGCTGATTTCACTGCTAATTCTTTTATGGCATTAAAGTGAATATTTGATAGAAGAAAGCACTCAAGGTGACAATATACAGCAAGCACTGTATGGTTCCAACTCCTGCCATGATTGTGCCCCCCCCCCCCCCCCCCGAAAATCTTAATGAAAGTCATGATTTGCTACACCTAGGCATGTTCCTCCATGCGACAGTGATTGGTTCTTCAGACACCAGCCACAGCATTTGGGAGGAGAGTTGGAGGGCCCACATCTGTCCCATACCTGGCAGTAGCAGGTTTTATACATGACTACCATACCTCTTAACTTTCTTATATGAGAAAGAGGCACATCTTTTAGAGCAAAGTGAGTAAGGGGCACACTCCTAGTTATGCAGACTGTAAGTAATATGCAAAACATTTTTTAATCAACTTTACAGTGCTTTGTTTCACCAGTTCTCTTTTATACTGGCTTACTGCCCTAAAAAACTTTAGTATTATTATTATTACATAGTATGTATATAGCGCAGCGCTTTACAATATCAGGAAGACATTACAATCACAATACAATTCAAGACAAGATGGTAAGGAGGGCCCTGCCCATGAGAGCTTACAATCTAAAAGGGAGGGGGAAGTGATATATGAGAAGGTAGCTGTGTGGGGATGAATTATTTGAGAATGTGATGGTTCAGTGGTTAGGTCGAGGTGGGATAGGCTTCCCTGAAGAGATGAGTCTTTAGGGAATGCCTAAAGGCAGTCAAGGTGGGAGATAGACGAACAGGTTGGGGTAAAGAGTTCCAGAGGATGGGAGAGACTCTAGAGAAGTCATGGAGGCGAGTATGGGGAGGAATGGACAAGGGAGCTGGAAAGCAGGAGGTCAATGGAAGAGCGGAGTGGATGGTTAGGGTGATATTTTGAGACAAGGTCTGAGATATATCGGGGGGCAGAGTTGTGGATGGCTTTATAAGTGACTGTTAATATTTTGAATTTTATCCTCTGGGCGAGTGGAAGCCAGTGTAGGGATTGGCAGAGGGGGGATGCAGACACTGAGCGGTTGGTAAGGTGAATGAGTCTGGCAGCTGCATTCATGATAGACTGAAGGGGGGATAGCCTGTGTAGTGGAAGGCCAATGAGGAGGGAGTTACAATAGTCAAGACGAGAGATAACAAGGGAGTGGATGAGTAGTTTTGCGGTTTCTTTGGTGAGGAAGGGGTGTATTTTTGAGATGTTACGAAGGTGAAGGCGGCAGGATTTGGATAGCGATTGGATGTGGGGAAGAAAGGTGAGGTCCGAGTCAAGGATGACACCTAGGACCTTGGCATGAGGGGAGATTTGGATAGTTGTGTTATCAATCTCAACTGAAATGTTGGGGGAAGGTGCACGGGGTGGAGGAAATACCATGAGCTCAGTTTGTGGAAGGTTGAGTTTTAAGAAGTGTTGCGCCATCCAGACGGATATGTCAGATAGTAGATTAGTGACACGCAAGGAAACAGAGGGGGAGAGTTGTGGAGTGGAAAGATAAATTTCAGTGTCATCGGCATAGAGATGGTATTGGAAGCCATGTGAGGTTATTAGTTGACCAAGGGAGGAGGTGTAGATAGAGAAGAGAAGGGGTCCAAGGACAGAGCCTTGGGGGACCCCTACAGAAAGAGGAGGGGAGGAGTATTACACTAAGACTTTTTTTTATAGAAATCTATTCAGCCTAAAAAGGGAGGCTACTGAAGAAAAAGAAAGAGGGAAAAGGGATCTGGTTCAAAAAGAGGGACAGTCCCTGCAAATTAGGAACAGTTGGGAGCTATGGTCTCCCTTGGTGGATCAGGGCAGTTGGCAGTGTTGTAACCCATAAGAACAGGCAACGTATGGCACTTCCTACGGAGGCAGGTTAGAGGGGTACATGCATGCTCCATACCTGGCACTACCAGGGTCTATACAGGGCTCGCTTTCTTGACAATTTTCAATAGATGTCCCTGCTGGTTCCCTGATGCTTTTACTGCAGTTGCACTGTGGCAGGACTGGGTAAATCACAATACCCAGGATACTAATACACCCACAGTGTTTCAGCTGCCACCTCTTTAAGGTGTCTGTTTTCTATGGAATTCTGTTCTCCTAATCCTCACTAATGAAGTTCCATTGGATTACTATACAATAAATTCTGATTTCTCTTTCATTCATTGAAGGACACAGCTCTTCTTTAGATAATCACAGACTGGCATTTTGCCTCCTGCAGGAGTTGGACACTAGGTGCACTAATTTACAAAGACAGTCCACAGGGACCACTGCTGGTGGTCAAAATCCTTTCCACAGTTGTGGGCATCTTCATTATTAGCCTAGTGTCTAGAACAGGGGTCTCAAAGTACCGACCCGCAGGCCAGCTCCGTATAAATTCGTCTACAGCAGTGGTCTCAAAGTACCGCCCACGGCCAGCGAGCCGGTACTATGTGACCCGCAGCCAGCTGACAAGTCAGGCACACGGTCACGGATTGCATGCCTGACTTGCGGGAGCAGCTACACGATCTGCATTTCTGTTGGATGCAGACCGCAGAGCTGCTCCTGTCAGCTCCGGCTGAATGATGGATCATTAGTAGGGTCTGCACTAATAAGCTCTGCACTAGACATTACTTATCAGGTGACAGCCACTGCATGTACACGCCTGCATACCGCATGTAATCGTATGCGATATGATTACATGCAGTTACAAAAACAATCACTATTCCTGGATAAACAATCATGTATCCAGGGAGAGTGATTGATTCCTAACTGCATGTAATCCTTTCACATATGATTACATGCGGTGTGCAGGCGTTTACATGCAGCAGCTGTCACCCGATCATTAATTTGAATCGGTGACAGTTGCCGCTTGTAACATGTGCATACATTAAAACTGGTACCATATATAGTAGCGGCCCCCATGGGACTAAAAAATTTGTCCAGTGGTCCCCGACTAAATTGAGTTTGAGACCCCTGGTCTAGAAGTAAGTGAATAGAATTTTCCTCCTGGAAATCCTAAGATCTATTGGGGCTGGGTGACAGGCCAGATAATATGGATCCCCAGTTGCAGCCATTAAGCTCAGTTTGTTTCCTAATGGGTAACCTGTTGGGGTTTTGCCTAGGTGGAAATATAAGACTGGTCAAACTCCTGGTTTGTCCTAATGTCCTGCTTACAGGCCTGCAGAACCTTGGCTC